TGCCGGGATTTATCAAATAAAATATTTACAATGTAAAAATGTTTATGTAGGGGAGACATTATGCGATCTGAAAGCACGCATCCACGAACACAAAAGAGACTTGTGTCTGGATAATCGATCTAACTCTCTCGTTTTGCATGGAAACGATACTGGACATAACTTTGATTTCACTAATGTCACTCTAATTTAAAAAAAAGAACATAATTCTTTAAGGAAAAATAGATTGGGAATTTAATAATAACGTTATTACCAACTATAAACACACACATAAAACATTACAATACATCACATCGCCATCTTTCTTTGAATCCATTCTTAAAGAATCTGAATTATATCTATCTAATACAAAGAATACATTCTTAAAGAGGCCGGCCATAAATTAGAACCTTGCGACTCCCTGCTGCGTGGAATGACCGTACAAAGGTTAAGCTAAAACTCCCACTAGACAGAGACACACACACACACACACACACACAATCACAAATACTCATTACCATCCGATGCCCATTAAGGCATAAAAGAATCTTCAAAAATCTACATACACATAGAATTATCTACAGTTTTAATACACGTGACACGTGTCTGACCAATGAGAACTGAGCGAAACATAATTGAAAATATCAGTGTTTTTGTCTTTTTGTCTGTTTCTCTCACAACTCTGACAAAGCTTTAATAAAAGTGAAACGAGAGATCGATATATATTTATATATAGAATTTGATAATATATATATATATATATATATATATATATACATTTTTGTATATATATGTGTATCTGTGTTTCGTTAAAGACGACTGACAAGGTACTGCGATTAACACTTATATATATATATATATATATATATATATATATATATATATATATATATATGGGATTATCGAATTGTATATATAAAATATATCAATCTCTCTCTCTCCCTATATATATATATATATATATATATATATATTATCGAATTGTATATATAAAATATATCAATCTCTCTCTCTCCTATATATATATATATATATATATATATATATATATATATGGGATTATCAAATTGTATATATAAAAAATATATCAATCTCTCTCTCCTATATATATATATATATATATATATATATATATGAGTATAAAGATTTTTCGTTAAAGACATGTTTAAAAATATGTATAAAAGAGTGATTGCTGCCCAAATACACTATATATATGTATGTATTATCGAATTATATATATATATGTTATAATCGAATAATATATATATACCAGAAAATGGCTGTTTTTTGTAGCGCTTTTATAACATATTTATGTTATAATTTTCGAATAAATGATATATATATATATATATATATATATATATATATATATATATTAGTGGATACCTCGTAATCGAAATAAGACACCCCATATAAATTAATATAAACATTTCGGAATAAAATAAATCGCCCTCTTTCCTTTTATTTAAAAATAAACACCTCTCTCTCTCTGTCTTTATATATATATATATATATATATATATATATATATATATATATATATATATATATATATATCTATATCTGTGTGTGTGTTGATACAATAGGAAAGAACTGCTAGATTGAACGGGGGTAAACCAAATGATTTTTCTTTTTCTGTTTTTTCTCTGGTTTGTACTATTGTTTTAAATATAATTGATGTTAGCGTGTTTGTAACCACTATTTTTTTAGGGCCTTTTAAAAATTACTGTGTTTATGGTATATTTCTTCATTTGCGGAGTTCATGCTGATTCATTTCTCTATTGATGAGGGTATGTGCTTAATTATGTCTGGAGGCTGGTTTGACCTGGGGTGTACATGCAATGGATTAGTATTAAATTTCTGTAAGGTTGGTATATGTTGTTCATTAAGTCTAAATGTCGAGGAAATTTACCCTTTTCAATTTTGTTTTGACTGCAGATTTCAAAATTTGTGGAACTCATCACTACCATGAGCCCATCAACCAAATGGTTAGAAATAAGCTAGGATAGAAATTCCTAGCTTTAATCGAAAAACATTTTCATACTAACGGCAAACTTAGCAAGATCTTTAATAAAATCACCCTAAAATTAAGTTATAGCTGCACTGAAAATCTAGAAAGAATTATAAAAATAACAATAATAAAATCTTGAAAAAACATGCATGCCAAAATCAAATAAAGACCCTAAATTAAAATTAGACAAAAATAATGAAAAATTATGTGATTGTAGAAACCCTGAAAATTGCCCTTTGAATAATAAATGCCGCATAGAATCTGTAGTATACCAATGCAGAATCCCATCTATTGAGAATCTAAATATTGAAAAGATATATATAGGATCTACAAAGAATGAATTTAAAATAAGGCGAGACTACACAAAAGCTCCTTCAATAATATTAGAAACAGAAATCAGACATCCCTATCGAAATATTTTGGGCATTTAAAAAAAAACAAATAAAATGCCAAAGGTAAAATGGAAAATAATAAAAAGGAACAAGATCTTGTGAAACCTAATTTACACGTGCACTTTATGCCGACATGAAAAACTGCATATTATTAAGTTTCTAAAAAACGAAAATTTATGAAACCAAAAAAATGAGATAACGGTTTTTTGCCGACACCACCAAACATTTGCCTTAAATAATTAGCATTTTACAAAGAAAATAAATTTAAAATTTCAAAACCTATGAACAAGTTCAATCAAAGCAATAGGTTTAAAAACACAACCCAATCATAACCTTAAAGCACTTTTTAAACAAAAATCATCAACACAAAACAAATAAATAAACATCAAAAACTACCGGAACTACAACATCAATCAGTTAAAGTCATAGCATACAAAAATAATAATAATAATAATAAAAACGAAAAAAACCAAAACAACGAAACTACTACATCAATCAGAGTTTTAGCAGGAAGTCTGATAAGATTAACTACTGTAGCTAGACAAAAAACTCCAACCCAACATTACACGACTCCAAAAACTTGACATATCACAAACACCCCTACTTCCACCAAAACAATGACCTCTTGGTAAATAAAAAACAAACCGTAGTCCACATCTCCATTTCAAACATATAAATGAGTAAAACATTTCGCACCATAGATATTCCAAAACAAGGATTGAGGATGAACCTGCCATCCAGTAGTTATGGTCTAATAGTGGAATTAAAATTAAATACGGCTGACAAGTTTCGAAACATAGTAATTTCTGTGTCGCGAGGTAATCATATTTAAAAAAAAAATAATTATAATATATATATATATATATATATATATATATGAGATTATAATACTTCAAGATATTTCAAAATGCTTTTATTATAATGTTTAATATATATATATATATATATATATATATATATATATATATATATTTCAACATGTTTTTATTATAATTTCTTGTAATAAAAATAAGAATATACTGCTCTACTTTGTATTAACCATTTATATATATATATATATATATATATATATATATATATATATATATATATACACGTAATGTGCATTTAGGCAATAGTTCTTCAAGAAAACAAATTTGATTATAAAGTGTCTAGAAAGTATTATATTTTAATAAATCAGTTCAGTTAATTCGCTCATACTTTTGGCCATTATTAAGGTTAGAGCCCAGATACACATACACACACATCCTGCCGTGCGGCAACGGCTTAGGGGTAGAATCTCCGACTGACGCCAAATCAGCCAGGTTTCGATCCAAGCGAGATGCAACCTGACGTCTAGTCACACTGATGAGCTGTGATACAGTGAAACAGTCTGTTTGTGGATTACAATATATACGCTCCTGAAAAATGTCTTTCTTTTGAGCTCTCTCTGGATGAAGGGTGAGTTCGTAAACAGTGGCTATTACTGCTAATAATGCAAGACGCTTCGGCAAAAACGAACTGAGTTCTCTCAGTCAGTGTGTGTTTATCTAAAAAACAAAAACAAAAAAAAAACGCTTAAATTCACCTTCATCCCTGCGGTGGGTCAACGGCTTAGGGGTAGAATCTCCGATTGACGCCAATTCGATCCAACCGATACAGCGAAACAATTTGTCTGTGGATGACTATCTATCTATCTATATATATATATATATATATATATATATATATATATATATATATATAGTACCACGTACATCTACAAATCAACCATTCGCCTTTGCATGGGGTATCGTTGCCATATATGGTCTGGAGCCCCTTCTGTTTGCCTCGGGGTTCTTGATAAGATCCAAAGACGGATATGCAATGCAATTGGCCCTGATCTGGCATCTCGTCTGCAGTCGCTCTCTCACAGATGCGCCGTCGCCTCTCTGTCTTTTTTTTACAAATACTTTCATGGTAATTGATCCGATGAGCTGCTTTCGCTGGTTCCTAGACTTCATGAATTCAATCGTCCTACTAGGCTGGCATCTCGCTCTCACACTTTCACTGTTGAAACTGTTAAATGTAGCCGTCTCTTCTACTCCAATGGCTTCATATCTCGCACCTCTGGCCTGTGGAACTCCCTTCCCTATCCCTGTTTCCCTGACAGCTTTAATCTCCTACTATTCAAATGTAATATCAATCGACATCTCTAACTGCCTTGATCTATCCACTATCCTTTCTCCTCATCCTTTCCTCTATCACTCCAAATCTTCTCTAACCGCTTGCGTCCTAGTGGCTTCCAGCCTTGCCTGGGGTGAAATCAATATATATATATAGTACCACGTAAATGAGCGTTAACACTAGTAAATATATCAATATATCTATTTTCTGTAGGTACACAATCACATTTATTCATAGGAATAATAATAATGGAATTCAGAAAAGTTAAAGGCAAATAAGTGTATACACACAGGTATAGTCAGAAACAAATAAAAAACTTAAAAATCCCGTAACACACAGAGCAGAAAGCCGGCGCAGATGTCTACACACTTGTGTGCACGGGTCCTTCTGACGTTTCTATTCATATTAGAACGATGCTGATATAAACACACTGAGATGAATTACTGGATGCACAAGTATTCGAGCGTAATTGTCATTCAGGTAGAATGGGAAGGTAAGTGATGGTTTATCGTGGAGGCAGCAATGGTTGTGGAAAGAAGCAAAGAGTGGAATGTTCGGTATAAAATTAGATTCAAATGGAAGCCGATATGTGTAGTAGGTAGTGGAAGAATGGTAGGGTAAGTAAGAAAGAGAAGGAGAGAAAAATAGAGGCGGTGTGTGTGTGTGTGTGTGTGTGAGAGAGAGAGAGAGAAGAGAGAGAGAAGGAAGGGGTAAAATGAGAAATAGAATAAAGAAAGGAGAGAAAATAAAAAAAGAGTTGAGAAAGCGAAATACAATAGATATAGATAGATAGATAAACAAAGAAAGAGATAGATAGATCCTGACAGAATGAGATAGATAGATAGATAGATAGATATAAAAGAAATAAAGTGGAAGTATATGGCAGATATATACAGCGATACACATAGACTGTGATACAGAGAAATATATATATAGGAAAAGACTGAAGACATATGGAAAACATATATATATATATATATATATATTTATATATATATATATATATATATATATATATATATATGGATACGAATGGATAGTGATAGATAGATAAAGATAGATTGATATGAAAATACTGAAATATATGGATATGAAAACCATATATACATACATAGAAATATATATATATAGAAAGATATGGAAAGGCATAGATAGATAGATAGATAGATAGATAGATAGATAGATAGATAGAGTGATATGGACTGACTGAGATAGGTAAATAGATAATGAACAGAATGAGATAGATAGATAGATAGATAGATAGATAGATATGTACAGACTAAGATACGAACAGATTGAGATAGATAGATACATAGATATGAACAGAGTGATTTATATAGACAGATATATAAGGATAGACTGAGATATATTAGTAGATAGATAGATAGATATGAAGAGGCTCAAATAGATAGATAG